ACAAATTCATCTGAGCATTTGCAACTCCAGGAAAGGATGTGGCTTATCTTGGCGAGGATGTGGCGCTTCATACCACAAAGACAGCTAAGACACATGCTCTTTCACATTTCACGGGGCTATGATCAATCTTTTAGTTACTTTTAGTTTAGGCATATTTTAAAGGAACATCTGAGCGAGTCCTGAGGGTCTTAGTATTCCATACTGCTGAGTCTACTGCATGTGTCATAAGTCACCCAGAGCCAATAACTGTCCAAGTCCAGCCCCTGCTGGTGTGCACGTCTTTCACACTTGTGGTTGGATAATGAACATTCTGAATGTGGAGGGAAACAGCAGGGTCTTCGGCACATGTTTCTCCAGTATCTCTGTTCTTTGCCAGTTTCCTCTCTCTCTTGCCGTTTAATGCAAAAGTAAAACTCCCGGACCTACAGAGAGCATTTTCCCTAAACAGGAATTGACACAGACCATCCATTTCCTTTTGCAGCTGCCTGTATGTCTGTTCATACACTGCGCAGATGCAAGTCCTCTGGAGACCATGTGGGCTGGATGATACAATGGTCATAAAACAAATATGACAAATCAAATGCCTAGTCACATACTGGAAAATACCTTACAGAAATAGTGCACCCAAACTAAAATTAAACTTCTGTCATTACTCACCCTCATGTCCTTCTAGAACCGTATGGCTTTCTTTCAAAGAAAAGGAAACTGTTTACTATCAATAAATGGGGACTGTAACTTACACACTGTAATGACACTAAAGCATCATAAAACTATCATGAACTTGAGAATCAGACTTGTGAATGAATCATTAAGAATCGATTCAGTAAAAAGATCAGATTCAAAAGAACAATTGATTCACAAATTGCTACTTTGCTACAATGGCTGATGCAATCATTTCTTATTGTGTCTATTCATAATTCTTTAAAAATATGGCTAAAATATTTTTAAATGTAGCATTTGTACTTAGTACTGCTAAGCGCCACTAATCAAAAGTTTGGGGTCGGTACGTTTTTTTTAAATATTATTTAAAAACAGTAATATTGTGAAATACAATAATTTAATTTAAAATAAATGTTTTTTTACATTTTAATATATTTTACAATGTAATTTATTCCTGTGATGGCAAAGCTGTATTTTCAGCAGCCATTACTTCAGTCTTCAGTGTCACATGATCCTTCAGAAATCATTCTAATAGGCTGAATTGGTGCTCAAGAAACATTTCTTATTATTATTATCCATGTTGAAAACAGTCGTGCTGCTTAATATTTTTGTGGAAACCTTGATACATTTTTTTTTTTCAGTATTCTTTGACGAATGGAAAGTTCAAAAGAACAACATTTATTTGGAATGGAAAGCTTTTGTAATTTTATAAATATTTTCACATCTTCACAGAAGAAAACCATCAAATAAAAAAAAACTATATATACTTCATACCCCAAACATTTTATTGGTAGTGTAGCTAATTTTCCGTGCTTTCAATTAATTTCCATAATTTTACATACATATTGTGGAAGCACCACATTGCATATTTTGGAGGCAAAAACAGTTACCAGTTGGTAAAAATTATTAAATAAATTTAATTTAATGTTTTTCTTAAATTTGTATTAAAAGTATAAAACTGTTAAAATATTTAAGCTATGCTAAAAAATATAGAAAAAAAAAACTGCCACTGGTCGACAAACAGACAGCTTCTTTCTTTCCAAACTCACATCATTAGTTTGCGCCAATGAGATTTCACATCCAAGCTTAAGATGTAGTTGTTTTCAACATGAAAGCAATACAAAACAGCAAAGGTAAGAATCCATATGATTAATGATGGCTGTACCCATTAAGCATGCAGCGTAAGCACAGTGCATTAAGACCATCTGTTTAGTCCAAGATAGTTTGGCTTGGTCAATAAACCATGAATGACCAAAGGACTGCTGTTACTGATGAATTCATGGAGTATGTCTGACTCTCCCCTCTGTATCTCTAATGAGCGCATAAAGTTAACCATAAAGGCCGTCTCATTGCTATTCATAGGAAAGAGCACAGCTCGGGTATTACAGAGCCTTTTCCATTTAGTAAAAACACCACAATCTCTTGTTAGGGAATGACGCTCACGCGCACAAGAGCAATAACTGTATCCAGAGCACTGGACCATTGTGACCCTTTCATTGCGGTTGCCCTTGGAGACCTCGGTGTGTTAATGAATTGACCTGCTTGTGATGGGAATAGTGATGGGCCTCACCGATCACAAGTCGCTAGGAGTTTGACCTCTACGACCCCAGCACATAACTCTCGTGCACAGCCATTGATAAAGACCATCAATCCATAAGATGCAGATTACAGAGGCTGCATCTGTATTTGCAGTTATAATTCTCATTTTCACCATGCTGCTGCTGTTACAAACACATTTACCATCTGTAACATATCTAATGTGGCCTGCTGAGTTTCAAAAATAGAATTCTGTCCAGGATTGTTAATGTTAACTAAAACTAAACTACTGAAAAGTGTTTTTGGTGATTAAAATAATGATGAAAAAATTATAAAATAAATATTTATTTGATGAAAAACTTCAATTTAAACTTAAAACACACACAAATAGAAATATTGTCTTGGCAACTACCTAAAATAAGTTAAATCTGAAGTACTAAAACTACTAAAGCTGACATAAAAATTTATAATTAATTATAAATAATTATAAAAATTAATTATATAAAAACTAAAACTAAGGAAATTGACAAAAAAGCAACATTACTAAAACTGAAACTAAAATTAAAATGAAAACTGAAAATATAAAAAAAGGCTTATTCAAAATAACAGTAACTACTATAAAATCATATACATAATAGTCAAACAGCACTGATTATGTCATAATTTATACATGTCATTGCAAACCTGTACGATATTTTTTTCTTTCTGTGAATTACGAAAGGAGAAATTTAAAGGAATGTCCTGGCTGCTCTTTTACATACAAGGAAAGTGAATTGGGACAGAGGCTGTCAAGTTCCATAAATGGCCAAAAAGCACTGGAAAATGACCCTGACTATAAACGTCATGCCAATATTGTAAGTCTTCTGAAGCCATACGGTGGCTTTCTGTTATGAAAATCTCTCTTTACATGCGTCATATACATTTGAAGTCAGTCGTGCCTCCAATGGTTCTCATGTGTCGCCTCGTGAACAATCGTGATGCAAGTCTGAACATGTGCAAGCATGAGCTCTGAGTTTCTTCTCTGCAGACTTTGTGATTGGTTCAATGCTGATTTTTGTCATTTTCTGAGCTTGACACCCTCTGTCCTCATTCACTTTCACTGTATTAAAAAGAGCAGCCAGGACATCTCCTGTTGTGTGTCCACAGATTAAAATAAAGTTGAGTTTAACGTGACATAAAGAACTATTCCTTCAATTTATGAGTACAATGTGCTGTATATGATGTGTATATCAGATTTTATGAAGACTGAGGATGTATTTATGACCTAGTGCAAACATATTTATCCTTAGATTTCCAATAGCATGCTCAGGCTTCCTGCAGGCCTGCAGGGATCTGGTATCAGGCTACAGCAATTTAAGTCTCAGATGTCATACATCCCAGTCTACAGTGACACCGGATCAGTCCCAAATGAGAAACGATTTTCTAAGCTGAAAATGAATGATGCACCTTAGGAGCTCTCATATAACCTTGATGTGTTTAAAGGGGTCATATGATGTTGCTAAAAAAGAACATTATTTTGTGTATTTGGTGTAATGAAATGTGTTTATGCGGTTTAAGGTTAAAAAAACACATTATTTTCCACATACTGTACATTATTGTTTCTCCTCTATGCCCCGCCTTTCTGAAACGCGTTGATTTTTACAAAGCTCATCGGTCTGAAAAGCGAGGTGTACGCTGATTGGCCAGCTATCCAGTGCGTTATGATTGGCCGAATACCTCAAGGATGTGACGGAAATGTTACGCCCCTATCATACTGTAATG